TTAAATCTTATGAGGTAGGAATTATTTCCATTTTCCAGTTGAAGATACTAGGACACAGGCTGATGAAATAATTTTCTTAAGGCCACACAGTAAGCGGAGTTCCATTCAAACCCAGACTAACAGTACAGCCTGTGAAACTTCACTGAATCATGTTAGACCAGTTCCATTTCCTCCCATCTTTAAGTGCTTTCTCGAATTCCACAAGTATCAAAAATTATAGCTACTCAACTTGAAATGTCTTTTGGTCCATTAATTACTCTTCCTGACTATAAGCAGTGGATGCTGAAGGTATTCAGCATATTGGTTTATTCTTTAATCCTTCCATACACATGTTGTTGTTGTTGTTATGTGCCGTCAAGTTGGACCTGACTCATACTTCGTGGTTTTTTGTTTGCTTGCTCTGTTTGTTTTGCTTGGAATTTTCTTTAGAACAAACACAATGATTAAATGTTAAGACAACAGAATAGCTGAAACATCAGGCATTGTGCAGGCAGTAAAAAACTATTATGATACTATAATAGTGGCTGTATGATATATAATTTGTCAAGCCCATAGAAAACATAGTGAACCTTAATGTAAACTACGGACTTTACTTAATAATTAAAACTATTAAATTTAAAATTACCTATTAAAATCTATTTGTCATTGAAGGGTTATATCTTGGATCAAATAAAACAAACTGTTTCCTCAAAACCAGGGAAGATGTCACAGATGTCACACAGGTTTTCTAATCCTGTTTCTTTATCAATAAAGCATATGTTTCCATTTGACTTTAAACATTTACAGATTATCCCTTCCTACTCACTTTTGTTATCTTGATAACCAAAACCAAACTCACTGCCATCAAAGTCAATTCCGACTCATAGCAATCCCCACTGGGTTTCCAACACTATAAATCTTTATGGAGCAGACTGCCTCACTGTTCTATCATGAAGTGGCTGGTAGGTTCAAACCACTGACCTTCTAGTTAGCAGGCAAATGCCTTAACCACTACCACCAGAGCTCCTTTGTTATCTTGATACACTTGAGTCTTTTGCTCTAAAGGGATAGGTGGGCTTTTGGGAAACCCACAGTTCAATGTTCACACTGCAGCATCAATTAACTCATTTAGTAACTATCAGAGAAGCACTTTCATGTACTCTAATGATAGCCTCAACTTAAATAATGCTTTATTTTCAAAGGAAAAAAAAAAAAAGGCTTCTGATTCTCAGGTAAGATAATTTAGTACATTCAAGATGGGAAGCACAATGAGTAACCAAAAGTTAACTACAATTTGTAAAATATTGGGAGATCTGCATACCAAGAAGGAAGAGGCTATGTTCAAGCCTCACTGTAGCACCTAGCACATTGGAGCTGTCAGTGTTTGAGATGGAATCACTTAACTTTCACTGAAAAGGAAATCAAAGTTAACAATATCTAAAGTGAATGATAAGGAGGAGCTCTAGTGGCACAGTGCCTAAGACATGTGACTGTTAACCAGAAGGCCGGTGGTTCAAACCCCCCAGCCACCCTGTGGAAGTAAGACGAGGCAATCTACTTCCATAAATAAAGATTTACCACCTCGGAAACCCAATGGGTATTGCTATGAGTCAGAACTGACCTTGATGGCAGTGGGTTTGGTTTCTTTTTTATGGAAACTGAATGATGGTCCCCGGGTGTGAAAACAGTTAATGCATTCTGATGCTAACCAAAAGGTCGGAGGTTCCAGTCAATCCTGAGGCACCTTGGAAGAAAGGCCTGGTGATTTATGTGTGAAAAACCAGCCAGTGGAAACCCAACAGAGCACAGTTCTCCTCTGACACAAGGGGTCACTATGAGTAAAAACTGACTCTACAGCAACTGGAAAAAACAGATCAGGCAATACTACACTCTCTTCTTCCCATTCAATAACAGTCATGATTCTTTCTCAAACTTGTGCATGTGTGGAATTCTTGAGCGTAATACATCCAAAGGCATTACAAATTCTTCTTCCATTAGGGAAGGCCAGAGCTCCCCTGACAGTTCAGCAGCATCAGCAAAACAGAGGCCAAAACAACCGTGCATCACACTGGAGCCAGTGAAGGGCAGGGGACAGGAGAGCAGGTGCTGGACTGCCTGGTGAATGGTCCATTTAAAAGCCTAACAATAGTCAGAGGGGAGCAAGGAGCGCGACCGCCACCACCGTGACTGGTGAAACCAGCACTTCCCAATTCCATGTACTCTCATGCCCTAAAAGAAGGGCACTAGAAGGCGAATCTCCATAAACTGAGTGAATCATTTGCCTTAAACAATAGTATTTAAAAGGCATGCTCTTCAGAAAAAAAAAAAAAAAAAACTATGAAAAGAACTACTCATATAACAGAAATCAATGCTTCTTCAATTTCAAATGTCCCTATGAGATATTCATCATTAGTTGGACAAAATGGGCAAAAGGAGCTTTTTCATCACAGAACCAACTAATTATCTTTTATAACTCTTTTGAGAAGCAAATGGAGATGTAAAAGCTTGAGTGAAAAACATGTTAAATGTATTTGTGTCTAGACTTTGCCAAGAAAATAGTAAGAGAGTTTAAGTGCACAAAATCAAAAGATCTAACTAAACTAGAATTTCAAATCAATGTAAAAAAAAAAATCAGCCTCATATTTGAATGTATCTTGTAAATAACATTTCATATTTATACAGCCAGCTTTATGGTAAATGTTGCCATATATTCAGACGTACAGGCATCCTATGTAGCAAATAGCGCCAGCACAGATATTGGTAAAGGTATAAAAAGTAAAAAAAGGCTTCACAGAGAACCTCTCCCCTAAATCGCTGCATGTTCCTGTAAACTGTGTCATAGGCAGACTACCGGAAAACAAATCAAACCTACAAGGATCTCTCTGCTTCACCAGCAAAAAGCCTTCAAAGTGGGGGGGAGGGGGGGTTCAAGGCAGCCGAAAAGGAAGTAGAGGTGATTATTAGGCAGCATGAAACGAGGGCTGCAGGGAAATATGAGGAGGAAAAAATCCAGGACTGTCTGTACAATATATGCAGATTTTTTTCAAATGTAAATTGTAAAGTGAATGCTGCTTTTATGTTACTGCATAAAGAGAAGCACAACGAGGCTGCTTCACTTCCCTTCAAACACAAGGGCATAAAGAGAGTAAGGGATGTGAAAAGCCAATTCTCTGTGCCACTACTTAATCAATTGCACTCAGTTCCACTTGATGTCACAGCCATGCTGCAAAGACCACTCAGCAGTTAATGGATATAATGTTGGAAAAGCACTTTGAGGCCTTCCAAAGAAAGGTAGGGTAAAAACCCAAAGGAGCATGGTATATTACTTATGCTCAACAACTGAGCACATTACCTATGAAACCAGGTCCTGAGAAGAAATTAAAACATTAATTTATTTTGCTAACTCTTATTCTTCCATATAAAATCACATCTTTCATAGATTAAAGCCAGAAAGCATAACAGAGTTCACCAGTGCCCTAGACTGGTCTTGTCAGGATAACCATTACACAGTGTAAGGAATAAATATGTTCTTCAAGTGTTACAGCCTACGCTTACAATCTGTCAAAATGTGGAGCCGAGGTGGAGTTACATGTTTTTAACTGTATACATCCATCACTAGCTATCACTCTTCCCACAGACAGGAAAAAGTCAACAATGAAACATAAAAGCTAAAAATAAATGACTGAGCAATTGCTCAGAAGAGCTGCACGTTGGGCACAATGTTAAATGCACACACATTCCTTCCTTTTTCTTACTTCTGCCAATTTAAAGTAATTGAAATTAAGGGCTCAAATGCAAGAATAAAGAAAAACAAACATGCACTACATAAATATGTAAAAGTCACTCAGAAGTAAAACCCCATGCTAATAACCATACAAGATCAGTGTTCTGAATGGCATGTGCCCAGAATGCAAGTCATGACTAATATCTGTTGTTGCAAATGCCATGAAAAATGACAGTTATAGGCACTTCAAATGCTCAAAGACAAACTTAGGGTGTTAAGTTTCATCCATACAAGCCGAAAATAGTTCTTCATTCATAGGTGCTTCAACATGTTCATGTCTGATAGCAAATCAAATCAGTATTTATTAAGGATCCAATGTGTACAATTCACTAAGCTTTAATGATCGGAGATATTGCATAAAATGAATCTGATTTACGTGCAAGAGTACATTCAAAATATATTTGAGTATGTATAATTGAATATAGAAAAAGCATAATCCACAAAGAGAACATCAGATTTAGAAAAATCGATAAACCCATGACTTAGTTTTTTTTGGTATTCTTCTCATTCAGTAAGAATTCATTAGGTGAGAAAAGCAGCATAGAAACCTTAGAAGGTAGAAGTTTGAAATGTTACATATCCAAAAGGAGAAAAGGCGTTTTACAACAGTAGTTTCTGAAATCCCTTCTAGCTTCAAAAAGACTCATCTAAGTAAATGTCATAAGAAACCCCAATATATAAATGAAATAGAAGAGGTATTTAATACAAATCTGGTTTGTAACTGCAAGTTCTTACATTTACTTATTTATTAGGTACATAAATGAGGAGGTTTTGATAAAGAGAAAAATATTAAATAGGGATTTATGGTTATAGTTACATTCTTCTATCAATCTCAGAGTCTAATTCATTTCTGTAATTTGGTTTTTGTATCATATTAAGAAAATTCTGATTTATACAGAGAAGTGGTTGCAAATAGTAACATTTAACAAGTCCCTTGCAATCTTGGGTTAGTCTTTTAACAGAGATAGCAAGGGGAAGCTTCAGTCCCTAGTCTGAACTAAAACTCAATAACTTAGCACAAATTAACTCATCATCACTAGTCTCAACTATGATAACATTTTCCATATAGTACTTGACTGGATGCACAGGTTTTTTTGAAAAAAAAAACAACAACACAGTATTTAAATCCAAATAAAACCTTTGAGAAACCCAAGAGCTCCCCACCTAGTATCATGAGGGGTCAGTAGAACTTCTATTTGAAAGCCTGTCTTTAAAAAGCCAGCCAAGATGCGTTGATTTATTGTCAGGAGTCAGCAAGACAGGTGAGCAGTGAAAACGCAGCACACAAACACACTCCTCTTGCAAAACTAGGATTCGAGCAAGGTGTGCCATCTGCAAATTTGTTGACCTTTGGTTTCCTTCATTTCCTCCCAGTGGTCTTGTTCTTCTTCTCCACTGCTATTTTGGCCCAGAGCAATCCAACCAATCATCTCTTTACGCTTCATAGTACGCCTATTATAAACTGAAATCATCAAGGTAACATCAGATAGCTGAAAGAGGGCCACTTGGAAAACAAAGGTCTCCTTATAGACCGGATTGGGCTGACCACGTCGAATGGATGTCTTGCAGCGGGACATCTCTTGGCCCACAGAATTAAGGAGAAAGAGCTTTCCATATGTATCTAAGGAAGAAAAGGGGGAGGGGAAAATGGAAAACATCAGTGCTTTCTGTTTTGCTAGTTTAGTAGTAATATTTGTATGGGCTGCAAATTGCCATTTCTTCTTTGAACATACTAGGCAGTATCCTTAGACCTGGTACTTGATGTTGGACCAATACATCTCACATGAATTATTAAGGAAAGGCATTATGACCTTGAATGCTTAATGTTTCATGCTGTCCACTCTCCACTGCATTCCTGGTACTCATTAGAACCTCTGCAAGTCAAGGGGTGTACACATGCATAGGTATGTGTGCAGTAGTGTGTGTGTGGATGTGTAATTATTTGTCCACATTTTATTTATATAACAAGATAAATACATACTTTTTGTTTCATGCTTGTTTTTCTTTTCATAGTCATAATACTGGTTTATGCCTAGATTAAGGAGTCTCTTTTCTCCTCACTCTCTATATACTCTTTGGGCCACCTCATCTACTCCCATGGCTTCAAAGGTAATTACCGAGCCCTAGCTCTAGCCTAGACCTCTCTCTCAAGCTCAAAACTCAACTGAATACCAGGCGCTTCTCTTGTACATACCACACATACCTCTCACTCAAAATGCACCCCCCCAAATTGAAAAACTTGCTGCTTCTGTGTTCTCCATCTCTGTAAAGAGTAACCTAATCTATCTAATTATGCAAGCGAGAAATCAAGATTGCATTTTCTGGCAAGTCTGGCTGTCTCACTCCTAGTTCACTCAATCAGTTATCCAGCTCTGTTGATTCTACCTCCTAAATAACAAATCTGCCTACTTCTTTCCATCCCCAATGTCAATGAACTCTCAGTGTACATGTACTGTAAGCTCAGGAGACCAGCATCTCTTACATGCATTACTGCATGTTTTCTAACAGATCTCCAGCCACTAGACTGTCCCAATCCCAGAGCCAGAGCAATCTTTGGAAAATGCGGATCTGGTCATGTCATTCTCACTAATAAATAAAGACCAAAGCTTCAATGACTTCCCACTGGACTCAGGATAAAAGCTAAACTTCTTGGAATAGACTATGTATGCCTGCTCTACTTATCCTCCAGTCTCACTGCGTACCACTGTTGCTTTTATACAAGTCTCCTGTATTCAACTACCTTCATGCCTCCAACCCACTGTGCTCTCTTTCCCTTTTACCTCTATACGTGCTATTTCATTGCCTTGCACAAAATTCTGCCTACGCCCCGATGTCCCACCTCCATGTCACTTCTATTCATTAAGTGTGGATGTCACTTTATCCAGAAACCTCTGCTGACCACCCCAGCTTTGGTTAGATAATCTTCTGGTGCGCTTCATTAAAACCCAGTTCTAGCCTATCTGAGTACTTAATATCCAACATAATCATTGCCAGTTGATATGTTTACAGGACTGTCAGTTCTCCAATGGCAGGGAGAGAGACTGCCTTGTTTACCACTATACCCCCAACTTCTTGCCTAGTGGTTGTTGTTTATAGTGATTAGTTGCCATCCACTTGGCTCCAACTCACAGCAACCTTATGTAAAACCGAATAAAACATTGCTTGGTCTTGTGCCACTTTCATGATTGTTGCTAAGCTTGAGTCTACTGCTCTAGCCACTGTGCCAGTTCTTTCACCCAAGACCTCTCTCACCTTCGCCAAGCCTCTCTTTTACCAACCATGATGTCTGCTTCTAGCAACTGATCTTTCCTAAAGATGTGTCCAAAGTACATGAGCTACGGTCTCATCATCTCCACTTCTAAGGAGTATCCTGGTTACAAAATATGTGAACTACTTTCCATAAATATTTTCTAATGAATGTTGGTGACTAGTGAGGGACTCAACTACCTTCATGCCTCAACATTCTTTTTTATTTTTAATCTCAAGTTTTCAAACTTATCAATGAAGCTAAACTCCTGATTTTATAACTCCTGCACTAGAATGCTACAAAATAACAACTAATATCATAAGTTTAAGGAGCTCTGGTGGTGTAGTAGTTAAGCCTTTGGTTGTTAACCAAAAGTTCAGTGAGTGGTTTGAACCCACCAGCCACTCCATTGAAGAAAGGTAAGGTAGTCTGCTTCCATAAAGATTTATAGCCTTGGAAACCCAATGGAGGTTGCGATAAGTTGGAATCAACTCAATGACAGTGAGTTTGGTTTGTTTTTTTTTAGCATCATAGGGTTAGTCATTTACTAAAAGAAAAAAATCAAATTGTACCAATATATTCTAATATTTTTGCTAAAATTCCTGTATGGATCGTTATACAGACAATAATGATAAGTTTTATTATATTTCTTTTAAAAAATCACTTAATTGAGCAATGGCTTGACTATTCTGCTATGTACAATTTTTGCCACTCCCTGATATGCGTACTAGTCTCTAAAAATTTAAACATTAGGGTATTTCCTCAACCCTATCATTCTGTACATTCTGTTCAATGCAGGCTGCAGGCTGATTAGTGTTTACTTTCCCACCTAACCACCAGTCAAACTTTTTAAAGTGTAAACCCAGATCTCTGTAATTTACTGTTCTCTCCAAGAGTATTGTAAGATAGGAAACAAATTACAACCTGCAGTTTGCCTTCTATGTTGATCTTTTTTCTATTCCGGTTTGATGTGTTATTTTATGCACTTATCTGCTGAGAAACACAAGGTGTGAAATTACACTTCAGGTGTGAAAACACTTTTCTGTCTCAGAAACAGGGCTCTCCACTCTTCAAACTGTTTGTACAGAAAAAGCTGTCAAAAAACCGACAATGGGGGAGTGAATTTGCGTTTCCGCAACTGTACAGCTACACAATTCCTGTAGGAAAAATTCAATCTAGTCACCAAAGTGTTCAGGCAAGTCTGCTGCCAATACAGCAATGGGAATTGAGTTAATCTTACAAACAAAGACCTGCTCATTTCACAAAGAGCAATAAAAAGCTTTATCCTGTCACAAGATCGTTTCCTAATTAGAGAAAGGCTATTTACTACAAAATCGTTGTCACTGAAGTTGGCTTGTATGTGTATGACAACTAAGGAAAAGAATAATTCTATAAACAATCCAGTCTGAGGACACCTGGCCAAAGGAAGGGAAATATGACTGACTGCTGCATTTCAAAGGGGAACCTTCCATAGCAGTAATGCACTTCCTTTTTAACATCCAGAGCAGAGGCCCAGGAAATTCCACTTGTGTGGAAGAGTTAGGGTTCAGGGCTGAAGTAACTTGGGGTCTACTATGATTCAGCACTACTCAGTATGAATGGAAAAAGAGGAGTCTCTTTAAGTAAAACCAAAACCAAACCTGTTGCTGTCTAGTCAATTCTGCCTCAGCGACATTATAGGACAGGATGGAACTGTCTCATGGGGTTTCCAAGGCTATAAACATTTTCAGAAGTAGACTGGGGTATCTTTCTCCCACAGAGTAGCTGGTGGGTTCAAACCATCAACCGTTCTGTTAGTGGCGAAGCGCTTTAACCACTAGCCCTACCATCACTTGGGCTCCCTTCAGGTAAGTAAAACCAAACCAAACTCACTGCCACCAAGTCGTTTCTGACTCCCAGTGACCCCCGTTGGGTTTCCAAGGCTGTAGATCTTTGCGGAAGTAAATCACCCCATCTTCCTTCCACAGAGCGGCCGGTGGGATTGAACCACTGAGCCAGTTAGCAGTCAAATGCCTTCCTTACCACTGCACGACCAGAGCTCTTTCAGTGAAGTAGATATGCCAATTAAATAATAAAATCTCTACTAATGATAAAAGGAAGATGAGTAGGAGAATTCATTTTATCAAAACCTTCTGCAACTATTGAGATAATATTTTTTTTCTCATAAATCAGCTGATATGGTGAATTAACTAGTGGATTTTCTTAATGGTAAATCATTCTTCCATTTTTGACCTAAGGCCTATTTGTTGGTAATATATTAGTTTTTTCTTATGCGTTGTGACATAGGTGGGCCCTATATAAATCGTAGCTTATGTGACAGAATACAGGAAGGGAGGAAGTGGCAGAGGGAGAGAGATCAATCTAATCTCATATCTTTTACCTGACAAGTCCCATCTCTTTACATTATGATCACTGATATAGTTTTATTTATTTATTTTGTTCTAGTTTGTGATTGGTATTTATTCTTTTTCTGTGATTTTTAAAAATCTTTTCATTGTCTCCTATTGGATTAATTGTTGTATTGCTGTTGTTATGTGCCGCCGAGTCGGACCTGACTCACAGCAACCCCTCCTTGGGCTTCCGAGGCGATATCACTACGGAAGTAGATTGCCCCACCTTCCTTCCGAGGAGTGGCTGGTGGGTTTGAACCGACAGCCTTCTAGGTAGCAGTCAAGTGCCTTAGGCACTACGCTATTGGATTCATTACATTTCCTTTATTTTCCTTGAGTTAATGTCTAAAAGTAATCAATAACTTTACCCTCCTCTGAATCAAGACAACCTCAGTTGCCTTAAGTCAATTCCAACTCATGGCGACCCTATAGGACCTTAGAATTCTTTAATTTCCCTTCCTATCCTCCATGTTATTGCTGCCTACAATTTTATTTATTATTATACTTCCAATATTAGTTTTACTATTGTTGCTGTTGGTATTTTATGTAGTCAATGCATGTTTAAATTTACCTGCATGTTAACCAATTTCTTTCTTCATTACTCCATCTTGTATCTCACTACTTCTTCCTAAATTCAAATTCTTTCTTCCTTAAATACACCTGTTAGTAGTTCTTTCAGTGACAAATCATCTTAGACTTTGGAAAATATCTCTATTTTGCCTTCACTAAAGATACAGATGGAAATGCTTTTCTCTCAGGACCTTGATGATATTATCCCATTATCCTCTGGATTCTATCATTGTTATTGAGAAGTCTATCCACTTACCATCATTCTTCTGTAGGTAAAATCAACTTAAAAAAAATCTTTGAGACAACATTCATACACCTTGCTAATTGTCTTTTATGTCCTATTGCTTTTAAGATTTCCTGTCTAATTTGAATACTGTTATGAGAATTAAATGAGTTGATGTAGGTAAGGAATAT